AGTACGCACTTATATTTTCCTACGTAGACTCAATTCTTTTTGGAAAAAGGAGTCAGTATTTTAACAAATAATATACTTAATTAACTAAAATCGAGGGTTTCTCACGTGAATATACTGAGAAAAGCTATTAGAGTCTGGAATTGTGGCCGGTATATGGCAACGGGCTCACCCCCTATTACATGGGACTCATAACATAAATAGTGAAACGTGGGTGTTACATTGTATAGTGGCATTAAGTGCCGTAATGTGCGCGGGTGCCGCGACCGCGCACGCTGCTTATGAGGAACCCCTCTGCGGTTCGAAACTAGTAGAGTTTTTCTCAGTATATTCACGTGAGTAACCCGCGAATTTAGTTAATTTAGTACATCTCACGATAGTTATTATAATAATAATATACTTACCTATATATATTACCTAGCTTTAGCCAACGGTTTCGTCCGCGTACGCAGGGGTAAAAACTAGCCTATGATGGTAATACTTACTATATGCTATAAAACCTGATTATAATGAAACTTGGTATGATTATCATTATACCACTGAGTTTTTAGCCTGAGAAAGTATACCCACAAAAAAACAAACTGAATTGTGCGGCTCGGTCCCTAGACACAGTTACTATATCAAACGCAAACATAAGTTAGTCGAATGTTAGATTTGCCGTAGTGGACCTTACGCTGTACCTGTAGGGTCGATTGTTGAAATTAGCTTTAACCGATATTGTTAATGCGAAAATATGTGAGTTTGTGTGTATGTTTGTTACTCAGTCACATCAAAACGGCTGAAGGGACTGGGATGAAATTTGGAACTGAAGTAGATTATGGTCTAAAGTAATACATAGGCAACATTTTTCTCTGTACACGCGGGCGAATCTACTAGTAGAAGCTAGTTAATAATAAAAGCTACATAGATTTAGGTTTACCAAATATATCTTACTAGCTACTTCCGCGCGGTTTCACTCGCTCTGCTCGGGGCCTATTAATCGTAGCGTAATATTTTATAGCCTATAGCCTTCCTCGATAAATGAGCTATCCAACACAGAAATAATTTTTCAAATCGGACCAGTAGTTTCGGAGATTAGAGCGTTCAAAAAAACAAACAAAAAACAAACTCTTCAGCTCTATAATACATATTAGTATAGATAAGTGCGTTTTGTGC